ATTAGTCATTTCAAGCTCGGTATTTCAACTTCATTATATTAAAAATTAGTTATTTCTATGGTAACTCGATTTACCATAGAAATTTACCGTAGAACCATCTTATCGGGAAAGTTGCGCTGCTGTATATACTGTAGCTCATTGCCGGAGCTGCTTGCATAGTAACAGGTAATAGCAGTTAACACATCAGTAGCGATCAACAGTGTGCTCTGATTACCGTGACAGGACAGCCAAGACTGGCAGAACTGGCAGGTGGCAGTTGGTGGTGGTCGGCTAATAATTCGACAGTTACGAGTCGTGGTGTGGAGCAGTCTTTGGCAGTCTGTGCGTCTAATTTTCGTGTCGTTTGTGTCGCTCGCAGTGCGGCTTGCTACTCCTCACTCGCCAAGTCGAACTATTTCCATCTGCTCTGCTAGTATCTATTGTCAATAGAAGCTGTCTTGTCAAGTCGATTAATCGTCGATTAACGTTAACAATGGCATCGTATGTAACTGATTTTTACAATAGTAAAAGTGTTTTTATCACCGGTGGCACCGGTTTCGTCGGCGTCTGCTTGATAGAGAAACTCTTGAGATGTTGCCCTGATATCAAGAATATTTATTTGCTAATGCGACCGAAGAAGGGAAAGCAGATCATGGAGAGATTGGAGGAATTGATGAAAAACTCGGTAAGTGGCACATTGAAACGCCTTTCGAATGTAGTTCTCCTACATTCTCGGATAGTCAAGATTGAACAGAAGATTTGTCCTTTTTAATTGAATTTGTATCGTTTAGCTTTTCTTTTTTTTTCAACGTAGAGAGAAAAAAAGAGAAAAGATGAACCATACAAGAAATTTAGCTAAAAAAATAAGTGTAAATTCTGTAAAATGTTTGCTACAAATTTCGTCAGCAGAAGAGAAATTTGATATGGAATCGAACATATATTCAGCAGAATGCAACAATTTTGCAATTTTATGATTGTCTGCTGAGGTAGGATCATTCCTCTAGATCTAAAAGTGCAATAAGTGTGAAAAAACTTCCAACAGTTGCAAAATAAACATTCTGCTGAACGCAGCCAATATTGACAGAATACTGATACAGCAATTTGATTGACAATAAAGTATGAGGAGTAATAAATTAATAACAGAAGTCAAGCAAATCAAAAGTTTGTATTTTATTGTTGCGTTGCAATAGAATTTTATAAAAGACTTAAACAGATATAAAATCTCTCTCTCTTTCTCTCTCTCTCTCTTTCTCTTTCTCTCTTCATAGCTAAACTAATGTATACTACATTTACAATAAAATATACGTATATTTTAAATGTTACAAATGCAAAAAAGGAAATTCTAATATAGTCAAATACAGTGATAAAAATAAATCTTGACATAATAATTTGTTATACAGTTTAACATAGATTAGAAGCATAAGTAGAGCAGAATCTATGTTTGACAGATTCTGTTTTATTTCTATTACTAATCTGCTATCAGATTATGATTGATATATTTCTGATATTTAGACCCAGTTTCACAACTTGTGGTTAACTTTTAACCAAGGTTTAACTTATTTCTCATTTCTTTCCAATTCTAGGATTAGAAAGAGATGAAGAATAAGTTAAGCCTCGGTTAAGAATTACCAGTTGTGAAACTGTGTCTAAATATCAGAATATGTATCAATCATGATCTGATAGCAGATTAGTAATAGAAATAAAACAGAATCTGTCAAACATAGATTCAGCTCTACTTATGCTTCTAATCTATGTTAAACTGTATAACAAATTATGTCAAGATTTATTTTTATCACTGCATTTGACTATATTAGAATTTCCTTTTGGGCCTTAATGTTGAAAATCTGTAACATATGTTAAATGCACTATAGATTTTCAGTACTGATTCATACAAAGTAATCTGATAGTAAATTGATGACAAAAATCAACAGGGGCTCTATCAGCAAAACAGAAGCTTAATACAAATCTAGTTGATATCAATTTACTAGCAATTTTTGACCAAATTTGTTACCAATCTGTTGGTATATCATAGACAGTTTATTTACTGAGTCATAACTCACTTCTATATAGGTCTTTAATCGAATAAGGGAGGAGAAACAAACCGATTTATTTAAGAAATTAATCGCAATTCCCGGAGATGTTGGTGAAGAAAATTTGGGATTGTCTTCACAAGATCGAACAACCTTAATAAATACAGTAGAAGTCGTTTTCCATTCAGCCGCTACGTTAGACTTTGAAGCCGATCTAAAAACTACAACAAATATTAACTTATTAGGAACTCGCAGAATCGTCCAACTCTGTCAAGAGATTAAAAGACTCAAGGTAAACCGGTATTCTGAAATAATATTTTACAAACGCTTATTCTTGCATTTTTGAATACAGACTTACTTTTATTTATTTATTGTAATATTTAATTATTTATTTTGATGCATAATTTTCTAATTCAATGTTTACTATTTTAGGTGCTGGTTCATGTTTCTAGTGCGTATGTTAATGCAGTATTGCACAATGTCGATGAAATAATATATCCTGTGCCAGCGGACGTAAATACAATTTTGAAGCTAGTTGATACACTAGATGATGCTACCTTAAATTCCAAAACACCAGAGATATTAAAAAATCATCCAAATCCTTATACATTCACCAAACATTTGGCTGAACACGAAGTATTAAACGGAGGTTTTCCAGCGACTATCGTTCGTCCTTCGATGAGTAAGTTTTCATGATATGATACGAGAGTTATATCATTATTATTTATGTTACTATATTTTAAAAAATTTTATATAAATTCAGTAGCGGGAGCATGGAAAGAACCAGTTCCAGGATGGACAATATCAAAGAATGGACCACAAGGTTTTATATTAGGTGCCGGTAAGGGTGTCATAAGAAGATTGCCAGTTGCAAAACATCTTATTTATGATTACATTCCAGTAGATATGGTCGTAAATAGTTTGATTGTCGCAGCTTATAATGTCGACCGTGACAGGTAATTCTGAAATAATTTTGCATATATTTTATTTTATAGAAGAGACATACACTTTCTTTAAATTATGATATTTAAATTATAATATTTAAATTTTCTAATCTGTAATTTTAGCGACAAAGGGTTAAAGGTGTATCACTGTACATCTAGCACGTGTAATTCTTTCAAATGGGAATCTGTAGAAAAGGAAATTAATACCTATTTACACAACTATCCGATACGAAGCGCTGTTTGGTACCCATATCTCAAGTTTTTACCATCACTCTTTTTGTTTAGAATCTCGGCTATCTTTGTTCATTTTATTCCTGCTTATATTTTGGATGCAATTACACGATTATGCGGAGGCCGTCCTATGTAAGGTTCAATATTTCACATGAAATATATATCGATTTGTTATAAAATTTCTTTTTGAATGAATGTGTCTTTTTAATTTTTTCAGTCTAGTTCGTTTGCATACAAATGTCAACAGATCATTAAACCGCCTTGAGAAATTTATCTTTCAAGAATGGAGATTTAATAATCCGCGCTTGTTGCAGTTGCACGAATCGTTATCACTAGAAGATCAAAAATTATTTACGCTTGATATGAGACCATTGATCTGGAAAGATTATTTTACAGATTTGATACAAGGTGTCAGAACATATCTTCATAACGAATCTCCAAAATCTTTACCGAAAGCACGTTCCAAACATAAAATGTAAGTATATTTGTTGAATATATGATTACTTAATTAACGTTAATGATTATATATTTATAGCGATTGATATTTATATTCCAGTCTTACGATTGCTCATCTGGGTTTACAAGCTGCTCTATTAGGTTCGATTTGGTGGCTGGTTAAAGTTTTATTTGCTACAACATGGACAAAAACTGGTTTAGTTGTACCAATAACATATTTGCTGTTTGATCAATTATAAATATTAAAATATATAATATAATTATAAATATTAAAATATACTATATTCCAGTATAATCTGATAATGCATAAATGTAATACTATATTTAGATATTTTCATTTAGTTATTCATACATAGAAAAAAAAATATATATATATACATAAAATCATTTTTTTATATACAGAAATGTATGCGCATATTATATGTTCTTTATATAATCATGCTTTTTATATTTATCTCAATAGAAACTTAAAATATTTTTATAACTCATATTGAATAATCTGAATAAATATTTGAAGCATCATAATTAAAGACTGAATTAAGCAGAAGTATTAATATTTAAAGTGTTTATTCATAACTTGAATTTAAAGTATTTTAAAGATAATGATATGGATTTTTACTTTAGTAAAAGAAAGAAAAGATATGATTGGAATTTTAAAATTACAAAACGCTCTGGTTTACATATGTGTGTGTGTGTGTGTGGGTGTGTGTGTGTGTGTGTGTGTGTGTGTGTGTGTGTGTGTGTG